CCTCTCCAATCGGGTCTAATGAATCGTATATGACTAAGATAAGGATCCTCATCATAGCCGTGGCCCATCATCGTCATCATCACGGTCATCATCACGGTCATCAAAAAGATAAGGATCCTCATCATAGCCGTGGCCCATCATGATAACCATCATCGTGCATCCTCTGCATCACCAACAGTCATGATGATAATGATGACTACGCGTGCATCCTCTGCATCACCAACAGTCATGATGATAATGATGACTACGCACCCTCAGCATCTCCAATCTCATCATCACCGTTATCATCATCGATGATAACCATCATCGTGCATCCTCTGCATCACCAACAGTCATCATGATAATGATGACTACGCACCCTCTGCATCTCCAATCGGGTCTAACGGGACTTTTGAATCGTATATGAAAAACATAAAGATAAGGATCCTCATCATAGCCGTTGCTCATCGTCGTCATCATCACGGTCATCATCATCGATGATAACCATCATCGTGCATCATCTGCATCACCAACAGTCATGATGATAATGATGACTACGCGTGCATCCTCTGCATCACCAACAGTCATGATAATAATGATGACTACGCACCCTCTGCATCTCCAATCTCATCATCACCGTTGTTATTATCGATGATAACCATCATCGTGCGTCCTCATCGATGATAACCATCACCACCAGTCATGATGATAATGATGACTACGCGCCCTCTGCCTCTCCAATCGGGTCTAACGGGACTTTTGAATCGTATATGAAAAAGGATCCTCATCCTAGCCGTGGCCCATCATCGTCATCATCACGGTCATCAAAAAGATAAGGATCCTCATCATAGCCGTGGCCCATCATCGTCATCATCACGGTCATCATCATCGATGATAACCATCATCGTGCATTTTGTGCATCACCAACAGTCATGATGATACTGATGACTACGGGTGCATCCTCTGCATCACCAACAGTAATGATGATAATGATGACTACGCACCCTCTGCGTCTCCAATCTCATCATCACCGTTATCATCATCGATGATAACCATCATCGTTATCATCATTGATGATAACCATCATCGTGCATCCTCTGCATCACCAACAGTCATGATGATAATGATGACTACGCACCCTCTGCATCTCCAATCGGGTCTAACGGGACTTTTGAATCGTATATGAAAAAGATAAGGATCGTCATCACAGCCGTCGCCCATCAGCGTCGTCATCACCGTTATCATCATCGATGATAACCATCATCGTGCATCCTCTGCATCGCCAACAGTCATGATGATAATGATGACTACGCATCCTCTGCATCTCCAATCAGGTCACAACGATTATAATGTGATGATGATGACCATGTCATCATCACCATGATGGTGGTCATTATCGTCATCATCATCATCATCGTCATCATCATCGTCGTCATCATCGTCATCATCATCGTCATCACTACGCATCCTCTGCATCTCCAACCGGGTCTAACAGCACGCTTGAAACGTATATGACACAGATCTGATCAGATAGGAGAAAGATAAGGATGACAACGATAATAGTAGCTCGGAAAATAACTATCATCGTAGCATCCTCTGCATCACCAATGCTTTCTAACCCCACACTTGAAATGTGTAGAAAGACACATCTTTGAGGTGCAAAGGATGCTACGATGACGGTATTGCTTACGCTGATAATGTTGAATCTTCGGATATGCTCATTTTCCAACCCACCTTGGACTTGTGCTGTAACCACCCTTCCCGTGCGCCTCCCCCTTTGAGGAGAAGGGGTCGGCGGATATTGCCGCTCTGTGGTACTAGAAATGATCAGGAGATCTTGCCGCCTACGCAGAAGTTGGCTGAGGAGAGCGGGCATAAGAATTGAGCAAGCACGGATTCAGTGTGGTTGTTAGTTGGTTTGCGAAAGTCAGGTTGGGCAGTTTCAGACCGGCATGTCACAGCGGCACCCTAGCATTCAGCAATAGGCTCTATATACAAGTGGGGCAGCCTGTGTTTGTAAGGCCGAACAACTAAACAGTCACAGGGAATGACAAAGAAATATTGCCGCTCTGTGGTACTAGAAATGATCAGGAGATCTTGCCGCCTACGCAGAAGTTGGCTGAGGAGAGCGGGCATAAGAATTGAGCAAGCACGGATTCAGTGTGGTTGTTAGTTGGTTTGCGAAAGTCAGGTTGGGCAGTTTCAGACTGGCATGTCACAGCGGCATCCTAGCATTCAGCAATAGGCTCTATATACAAGTGGGGCAGCCTGTGTTTGTCAGGCCGAACAACCAAACAGTCACAGGGAATGACCAAGAGTTTCAGGGTCTGTAGTACTGGAAATGGTGAGGAGATGTTGCCACCTACACAGCAGTTGGCTGAAGAGAGCGGGCATAAGAATTGAGCAAGCACGGATTCAGTGTGGTTGTTAGTTGGTTTGCGAAAGTCAGGTTGGGCAGTTTCAGACTGGCATGTCACAGCGGCATCCTAGCATTCAGCAATAGGCTCTATATACAAGTGGGGCAGCCTGTGTTTGTAAGGCCTAACAACTAAACAGTCACAGGGAATGACAAAGAAATATTGCCGCTCTGTGGTACTAGAAATGATCAGGAGATCTTGCCGCCTACGCAGAAGTTGGCTGAGGAGAGCGGGCATAAGAATTGAGCAAGCACGGATTCAGTGTGGTTGTTAGTTGGTTTGCGAAAGTCAGGTTGGGCAGTTTCAGACTGGCATGTCACAGCGGCATCCTAGCATTCAGCAATAGGCTCTATATACAAGTGGGGCAGCCTGTGTTTGTCAGGCCAAACAACCAAACAGTCACAGGGAATGACCAAGAGTTTCAGGGTCTGTAGTACTGGAAATGGTGAGGAGATCTTGCCACCTACACAGCAGTTGGCTGAGGAGAGCGGGCATAAGAATTGAGCAATCACGGATTCAGTGTGGTTGTTAGTTGGTTTGGAGAGAGCCAGATCGGCATGTCACAGCGGCATTCTATCATTGAGCAAGCAAGCATCATCGTAGTCGGCTTCCATCGTGGCCTCAACCGGTCAGCGGCACAAGGCTGACGTCACATTAGAGAACATTGCAGCATCAGCTTTTGCTGCCAGACATGCCACCAGCATGCCAATAGCAAGAAACTGTTGAGGTACTCTTCTTTGGCTGCCTCGTTTGCTGCCGCTCTTGCTTCTTGAGATAGGGCCTTTCCTTTCTGCCTAGGCCCAATCTGTCTGGTTCGCTAAGCGGTAGCAAGGTGTGCGAGGGGTGTGCGAGAGGTTCCGAGGTTTTGCGGAGCGCACGGAGCGCACGGAGCGGACAGAGCTCACGGAGCGCGTTGGCGCGAAGCGAGGTTTGCGAGCGCCAGGCCGAGTCGGCCTTTCGCAAGCGGCAAAGAACTGCGGCCACGCCGGCCACGCCGGCCATGTCGGCCATGTCGGCGATGTCGGCGAGGTCGGTGCCGGCCCCGCCAGCCGAGCCCCAAGAAAGTCGCATTGAGGCAGCACATTGCAATCAAGGTTCGGACCTCGAGGCGGGAGCGATTTGACGTATACAGCTCCTTGGCATGTGCTCCAAGGAGCTTTCAGGATTTGGTGACATTGGGAAGGCAGCTGAAGGCCTGTGAGAGCCAAGAGGTGCCACCCGCGCGTCACTGTGCTCAGGATGGAAGCCCAGGCTCGATGCTTCAGCCCCTTCGGCCCCTTCAGCCCTTTAGTACCTTGCCAGATCCTGCGGTGCCTGCGGTGCCTGCGGTGCCTGCAGTGCCAGCATTGCCGGCGGTGCCTGCGGCGGTGCCTGCTGTGCCGGTTGTGCCAGAAGCCGAGGTGCGCTTTGAGCTTCGTTGGGGGGACCTTGTGGAATGGGTGACATGCCTTGAGCAAGGGCATTCAGGGAAATGAGCTCGCGGCTTGCATGTCCATCGCGATATTGGAGACTGAGCCAGAAGTCATGTGAGTGTAGATGCTAGACACAGGCTGAGGGGTTGAACCGAGAAGGCTCCCTAGATTCAAAGTCTGTGCTGTCAGACTTTCAGATATGGGCTGTCAGCCCCCTCAAACCCCTCACCTCTTCACTTCCTCACACCCTCACGCTCTCAACCCTGTCGACCCCCAAAAGTCATTAGCTTCATTTTGGATTAGCGCCTGGATCCTGTACCCTTGAAATCATGCATGCCCAGATATGGCGTAGCTCCATGCAAGGCATCCAGGAGCCGTGCTTGAAATCATTTGCTTGGTCTGGAGTCGAGTTCAGTCTCACAGAGTTTGCTTGGTTCGGCTCCCAATGCGCTTGAAAACCTCTCCGCGAACAGCTTGCACGAGTTGGATGGTTCACTCCACTTTGTCTTGCATTCGCACACCGGTGATGGCACCCCTGGCCAACATTTCTGGCGGAAGGGCCGGATTTTGGCGGCAGCACATTCTCTGCAAGTGTGCTCAACGTGCACTGCAGATTTTGGAGTGCACCTTTTGCTTGGCGAGAAAGTACTTTCTTTCTTGCTTGCTTGCTTTCTTTCTTTCTTTCTTTCTTTGTTCTCTCTGTTTGTCTGTTTGCCGATCCACTTTCCAGGTTCCTAATTGTCTGTCTACATATCGGCTCTTCTTTCTCTTTCCTTTCTCTTTCTCTTTCTCCCTTCCTCTCTATCTCTATCTCTCTTTCTCTCTTTCTCCATTTTTCTCTTTCTCTCTTTCTCTCTTTCTCTCTTTCTCTGTTTCTCTCCTTCTCTCCTTCTCTCCTTCTTCCCTTCTCTCCTTCTTCCTTTCTCTCTTTCTCTCTTTCTCTCTTTCTCTGTTTCTCTCTTTATCTCTTTCTCTCTTTGTCTATTTTTCTCTTTCTCTCTTTCTCTTGTTCTCTCTGTCTCTCTTTCTCTCTTTCTCTTTTTCTCTCTTTCTCTCTTTCTCTCTTTCTCTCTTTCTCTCTTTCTCTGTTTCTCTCCTTCTCTCCTTCTCTCCTTCTCTCCTTCTCTCCTTCTCTCCTTCTTCCTTCTCTCTTTCTCTCTTTCTCTCTTTCTCTCTTTCTCTGTTTCTCTCCTTCTCTCCTTCTCTCCTTCTTCCTTTCTCTCTTTCTCTCTTTCTCTCTTTCTCTGTTTCTCTCCGTCTCTCCTTCTCTCCTTCTTCCTTTCTCTCTTTCTCTCTTTCTCTCTCCCTCTCTCTTTCTCTTTCCCTTTCTCATGCTGTCTTTCTCTCCCTGTTATCCATCTATGCGTCTACCTTCTTATCTATCTTCTAAAGATACTACAGCTACCAAGAAGTCTGTACTTCACTTTGAGTGCTGCGCTTGCCACAAAATCTGTACCTTTCGACAGTGCCGTGCCTGCTAGGAAATCTGTGCGTACCTCACTTTGCGAAAGTGCCGCGCCTGCCATGATTTTTTTGCGCCTGCCATGAAACCTACACATCACCTTGACAAAGTGCTGCGCCTGCCATGCAACTAAAGCCTTGCGAAACCTTCGTGTTGCCGTGCTACTGGGCAGTGCGCCGGGACCGCGCCGCACCCGCGCCGAGACCGAGCCAGACAGGCGTTGAGACACAGGTGGCGGACATCGACGCGGGTCAAACAAAACGCGGAGAGCGTCACTCTTTTTTGCGATTTCTCTTCTTCATTCTTTCTTCATTTTTTCTGTGCACAAAATTACATTTCACTCAGCGTCCGTACTGTGGAAGTGCTTTCTAAACTTCAGTTGGTTAGTTTCATGATTTTCATGTTCAGCATGTCAAGCTCGCTTTTTTAGGAGCCAGATTGCAGGCAGCGGCTGGATGACGCGCAGGCAGGAAGTAAGAAGTAGCCACGTTGCTAACGCACAAGCGGCCTCGGCAGCACTGCGACGCTCAACTTCAGAGCTGCTAGCTCTCGCTTCTCATCCTGTTCGAGCTGCATGCAAGGAAGCAAAGCTGAGCAGCCTTTGCAAGCAAATCCGCTTGAACCAATCGATCTGCGAGACGCTGTTACGGTTCTGCATAGGAGGCTCTGCGCGCCAGCGCAGAGAGCTGACACCAACAGCGCCGCGTTTCAGCATCGGCCTGGCTGTAGCACATCGAAACCATGCATTTGTTTTGCCAATTTTGGCTTGCTTGTGCAGACTGCAGTCTTTGCGCAGTCGACCTCGTAAATCCTGATTGTGCAGTGTTTTCAAGGGCAACGCCTTGGTTTGGCAGCTCTTCCACGACCAACTGCAAAGTGCTTTGTGGAATGCTGCGGCTGCTCCCGCGTGCGCCGCGCGTCGCCCGCGTCGCCCGGATCACCAAGAAGACCCGCAAGCCCAATGCGGCGTGATGACAATGATTATGATGATGAGGGCGATACTGATACTGAGGATGATGATGATGATAATGATGATGATCATGATGATGATGAGGAGCATATTCTTTGCCACCGACCCTTCTCACAGAAATGGTTAGCGGATTTCTCAGAGGTGGGAGGCAGAAAGGTTAATGCTACACACGTGAAGCAGCGAGGCACAGATTCTGACATTGTTGTGCGGCTTTTTGGCACTTGCGCAGTGGATTGTAAACAAAGTATGATTGTCAACAAGTTGATAGACCGCACAGCATGAGTTCATTTGGACGGTCCCAACCAAAGCGCCTCATGGGGCCACTTTGTTTCCATCCCTTGTGTTTGGTTCTGCTTTTTGAAGGCCCGAAATGCCATACTGTATGTGTCACGTTTGCCCGTGCAATGCCAGCATGTTAAGCTGTCTTTGCTCAGGCGCCAGATGGCACGCAGATGCTGGATGACGCACAGGCTGCAATATACTGTCTGGAACGCCATGGATGAGGGCAAGTAGCTAAGCAGAAGGGAGGCAGAAAGGCTCATATCAAACGCGTCATGTTTGCCCGTGCAATACCAGCATGTTAAGCTGTCTTTGTTCAGGCGCCAGATGGCACGCAGATGCTGGATGACGCACAGGCAGGAAGTAAGACAAAATTTGCTGGGGGCTGCAAGATACTGGCTGGTACAACATAGCTGCAGCGTCTACACTTGATGCTAGACACGTGAAACAGCGAGGCACGGATTCTGACTTTTGGATGATACTTTGGAGTACCTTTTTTATTGGAGGACTTGCGCTTGCTTATGCAGAAGCATATCTTCCGCTTGGAGGAGGCAGGATTGGCTTCCTGAATGATTTTTAGGCATGGTGCAGAAAGCAATGACAGTTTCTCATGTCCGTTTTCCGTGCTTAATGTTCAAAGGTTGCCCGCTAGGAAATCTTTTGAGCCCTGGCTGAGACACCACCAGTCACAGCTCGACAGGTTGCCGAGCAAACACATCAGCGGCAGCAGGCAGTGCTGGGCATCTACAAGGAGAGAAGCCGAGCGAGCCGAGCGAGCCGAGCGAGCCGAGCGAGCCGAGCGACCGAGTGGCGGGCGGAGTGGAGTGGAGAGGCCGAGCTCGCATGTGTATCACATCGCCACTCGCCAGGCCCTGGAAGCACTGCTCTAAGACTCGGGGTGCTCAGCGAGCGCTTGGCTGGGGAGCCAGGCAAATTGGGGGCTGGACGCGAAAGATGTGCTCTGCACCCTGCACGACCCACCCTTTCGAATTTTCCAGACGTCCCTACTTTCATGGCAGGTTTGCAACTGCGGCTCTAGGGGCTTGCTAAGACGCAGCAATCAGCTGAATGCAAAAGCTGGAACACCATGTGTCGCAGCCTGTAGAAGTACTATGGTACATCACTGAAGTACCATCCGGATGACTGATATCAAGCACCTCATCCCGTGATGAGTCGCCTGAGTTGCACCGGCCATGGCTTGAATTTGTCGACCGGAGGCGGGGCGCATGGCTTGGTCCTGCTTGGTCCTGCATGGCTTGTCCTGCTTGGTCCTGCTTGGTGTTGGTTTTGCCAGGAAGGGCATAGCATGAGACATGAGAAGGCCGGAGCCCAAGAGCCCAAGAGCCCAAGAGCCCAAGAGCCCAAGAGCCCAAGAGCCCAAGAGCCCAAGAGCCCAAGAGGAAGGGCTTCGCGGCTTGGCGTGCTGTGAGAGCCCGATTGGGTGACCCGTAGCCATACGAGCTCGGCGCCAGTTTCACTTTACAAAGCCATGGAGATGGACTGTGCCTTTCGGCTGTCACTGTGCGCAGCCTGCTGCTGCTGCTTGACCATAGGCGTGGCTCTTGACGCGCGTTCCTCGCGCGTTTCTCGCCTGGCAGGCTTCGGCTCGGGTTTCTTTGCTGCCGGCAGGAGCTTGCAGAAAGCCAAGGACGGGAGTGGGCCGAAGGGCAGAAGGGCAGAAGGGCGGGCAGGGAGGGCAGGGAGGGCAGGGAGGGCAGAGAGGGCAGGGAGGGCAGGGGGCAGGGAGGGCAGGGAGGGCAGGGAGGGAAGGTTGAGAGGGAAAGGTGAAGGCAAGAGGCAAAGAAAGGATGTGAGAGGACAAGAGAAGGAAGAGACCCGAAGAGACCTGAAGTCTCAGAGTCTCAGAGTCTCAGAGTCTCAGAGTCTCAAGTCTGAGTTTTCTTGAGGTCTGGGACCAGCGGAGCGCCTGGCAACAGGTGCGTTGCCAGGTGCTCGCGGCCGGCGTCAGCTGCACCGACCAGGACTCCGGGAGCACCTGCGGGGGCTACAAGGCGGGCACGATGCCCAGCCAGACGCCCCCGGTCTTCCTCACCGAGCAGATCGCCGTGTGCCCAGGCCAGCTGAAATTCAATCGCGTGCCGAAGGAAAAACACTCGCGAGCGCGAATCTCGGAGCGAAATGCAGGAACGTATTGGTGCTCCAAAGAGGGGGAGATGTGCAGCTGCAAGGGAGAGATCACCTACAGTGCGGAGCTGTTCGATGGTTATGTTTACACTGTCCCATCGGCCGAGATGACCTACAAAGAGCCGTGCACGCATTCTCCTCATTCGTTTACTTCTTTTCTTTCTAGCTTGCATTCGTTCACGTTTACTTTTTGCATTTGTATACCTCAGAACCTTAGGGGATTTGATACGTTCGCGCGTGTCAACACATCGTTGTGACCTAGCTCAGGTGAGTTCCGATGGCACCTGGAAGTGCGGCACGGATCAGGAAGGCCGGCCCTTTGCGGTGGATCCTGCCCCGTGGCGGGTGAAGCACTGCTGGTGCACCCCGGACGCCCGGCAACGAGTCGGAAGTCGGAAGTCGGAAGGAGCAAACGAGAGGCAAAGGCATGCGAGGTTTGGCATGTTTGGCCAAAGTAGTCATGATTCATGCAGGACAAAAGGACAATGGAGGTATGGGGACTCACCAAGTTTCTCATGTCCTTCGTTGACCGTGGCTGATGTCGCAGCAAGCGACGAGCAGCTCACTACTTGGCTGCCTAGGACGACATTCAGGCGATTCTCAAACCATATGGCACGAGCCTCCACAAGAAGGACAGCTGCAAGCGCAGATGTGTGGCAATGCCAAAAAAACATATGGCGCACCTTGTGCAGGAATGCTCGGAGACTACAAACTTTGACTTTGAAAGCGTACGTCGTTTGCAAGTGCAGCGCCGCCACTGGGAAAGAATACCGTGGGCCATATGAGCCATTGTGAGCCAATCGTGAGCTGTGATGAGCCAGCCATCATGAGTTGTGTGACCCATTTTGAACTTTTGCGAGCAATCAGAAGTCATTCTGCCTCCTGACCTATCATGGGCCATAGTGAGAGCAGTCTTGAGCTCTCTGAACCATGATGGACATCATGAGTCCATGCCATCACGCATCGCGAGAAGTCATGAGCCTTTGTGAGATGTTCTGGGCAATCTATGAGTCATTCGGAGCCGTCATGAGCCAGCATGAGTCATTATGATTCATCACAAATCATGAGCCAGTGTGAGCCAACGTCAGACATCATGAAACGAATCATCGTAAGCTTTTGTTTGGCTGTTTGACTTGAGCGAGGCCTGTTTACAAAGATGAGAGAGCGACTGGCAGCAAAGCGGCAGCTTGCCACCAGCGCCCGTCGCCGGCGCACATATCGTGGCCCGACTCAAAGCAGATTTTGTGTTCACGGGAACATATAATGTCCGCAACTAAAAACACAAGCTGATCACTGCGTGCTGGACTTGGCCGTCGGGGCAAATTTGACACCTTGACACTTCCCTCGCTTTCCTGTCGAATCGGTCTTTGGCCGGAACCAAGTTCGCTCGGAGGCTACACCCCGTGGGCCCTTGTGACGATTGACAAGGATAGCTGGGACACCGAGGCAGAGCCAAAGCACCTTCCATGCAAGTGCTCATGCAAGTACTTTCAGTACTTGGACTCATTCTGGCACATGCTTGGTACCAGGCGCCGACTTTGTGCTGCGGCATGCGAGGTCGATTGCATGCGCCTACGAGTACGGCGTGCCGCAGGCTTCTGGCATGTTCTATAGCGGTGACGGGGCCTATTCCGGCGATGTGTGGGCGGCAGAAGGAGCGGGCCGGGTGGGGGGAGGGGGTGGGCGGGAAGAACGGGTGATTTAGGGATTGCAAGAGGACGATAGGGACGATAGGGACGATAGGGACAATAGGAACGGGGGAATTCGATGGCATTGGAGTTCGACATTTCGAGCTGAGGTGTGGCCAAAGACTGGGGAGTGCAGCCTTCGCGGACCTGCTGGATTCGCACAGCAGGTGCGCGTTTCGTGCGGCTCACGCGTCGGCTCGTTGCGCAGCTTCTCGAGTCGCAGGCTCTAGCCGCGGCGAGAGCTGCGCCGTTGCCATGGTGATGCCGGGGGAAATGAAGGAGACTCTGAGAGACTGAGCGAGACTGATAGAGACTGAGAGACTGGGACAGAGAAGCTCAGAGCGAGAAGCTTCGCCAAAGACGAGGAGAAGGCGGAAGCAGGGCTTTCGATCACCACCACACTCTTCTGGATGGGTTTCTTGGCCCGAGTCCCCAAACTTGAGAACGTGCGCACCGCACCAAGGCTTCCTTTGCACTGTCATCCTGGGGGTTGCCGGTGGGACCATGTGCTACATGTACACGCCGCCTTTCTGAATTTCCCAAATTGGTGTTTTCATTCCAACTGTTCTTGGAACAAGACATGGCCTCTGAGGAAACCTGCAGGACCAGGACCAGAGGCCCAAAGCCTCGTGGAGTCCAATGCGAATGCCCAGGGTGAGGCAAATCAATCGCCTGACTGACTTCGCAAGCAAATTTGGGAGTGGCCCAGTTCCAATTCAACCCAAAGTGGTTGGCGCTGAGCGCAAAAAGGGTGCTTTGATCCCCGGAGCAGCGTCACCATCCGTTTTTGAGCTGCCCATGCAAGCTGCAATGACGTTGGACACCACACATTGCCGCAAATATGTTGTGCTTAGTAAACTTGTTCCAGGCGTTTCTATCCAATTTAGACGGCGTGGGCAATGTGTTGCGTTTGCGTGCTGAGACTTTGGGCCTGCGACATTCTATGGACAAGCGATCAGAATATGTCATTGGCTTGCGCATGTTGGGTTTTCCATTGGGGAACAGGCGTGCATGTTGCGCGACTTGCGTTTCAGGGTAGCTCTCCGAATCCAATACTGCAGACAGGAAAAGATCGAAGCTAACATCGAACATATATTTGTGCAATATCATTCAAGCAGCACTTTAGAGTGCAGAGTGCCTCCCAGTGCCTTTTTGGTGCCTGACCCGCTATTCCAATGCCCAGCACGTCTGGCTCTCTTGCAAGAGCACTTCGGACTCTCTTTGGCGCGCCTTAGCTTCCACCCCGGGTTCTTTCCCAGGCTCCTTCCAAAGTCCTCTCCTCAGAGAATCTTTTGCCTCTTTCCGCCTTTCCGCGAAAGCCGGGCTTTCCTTTTGCCGTCTGGGATGTCGTCCTGTCTGTGCATGAAGCTCATGCGTATGTCACCTTACCTTCGGCGGCTTTGCTCGCAGTGTGCTTCAACTGCTGGTGGTATGCGTGTTTCGTTTTTTGACTCAATGCAGACATGTGCAGATTCATTCAAAATCACAAAGCACTCGATTTGAACTGAATCCACTGGAAGCTAGGTCCATTTGGTCGGAAGCGAGAGACCTTTGGCCCCTAAGGCCAGGCACCTACCAGAGCTTGAGACGGGAGGCATCCGTGGGCGTTGGGGCCCAAGTGCAGATCTTCATATTATATATGTGATTAGCCATGGTTCATTTCATCATCAGGGATGTCGCGGTAGTGACTGACCCGTGATGTTTGGCTCAAGTTTGCGGGTCCGTCGCGCCTCGGATGAGCGTCGCCGGGTCCCCGCGTCGATCACCTTCGTGTCGGTGGAGAAAGAGACATCGGCCCGGGGCAGATTGGTGGGGTCCGCCCGTGCGGTTCATCGTCGACCAAGGTTGCGGGTACTTGTTTACTTGTTTTGGTATTTCCCTTTTGGTTGTTGTTCTCTGGTGTGTGGGAAACCCTGATCTTTGGGACCGGGGATTGGTTTGCTTTTGGGGAACCTTTCTTTTGTGGCTTGTTTACCCCAACTTACCCATTGCCTGGGCACAGGCTCGTGCCCGAATCACAGGTTATCAGCCGTAGGACTTTCCTACGCGCTTGAGACCAAGCTCAATGACGTCGACCCCACGCTCTCATAGGAGTGTCGTGGATGAGGAGGCTATCCTAGGTGGTCTCCGATCAGGTGAGGACTTGCCGGACTATGACTTCGAGGAATTTGAGGCAGGTTCAGCAGGTCAGGATCGCAGGGATGACGATCCCGATAGGGACACACCCAGAAGCCGTGGCAGGTACACTGACGACGGAGACGATCGCATTTTCCGTCAGGCCACCGATGATGAGCAAGGACAGAGAGCTCGCCCCGAGAGGGGCGGCTCCGAATCAGGTTTCAGGCAAGGACATTTGGACTTCATCAGCATGGCGATGAACATGGCCCGCCCTCATTCGGACGACCCGGAGGCCCAGGTGAATCGCAGGGATCGGAGACAGGCCGCAAGGACCGGGAACCATGGTTTTGGCTCCGAGAGATATCTCGGGTCGATCCACCGGATCTCAAAATCCAGGTCATTTTGATGGGCACGAAGAGAGGACGTTTGCAGGCATCGGATACGATGCATCAACCGCAGGCTGGGGCAGTAGCGTGAAGCAGGAGTCTGATGCCGATAGGCCCAACCCTGTTTCGATGGCCAAATTTGAGTTCAATGATGATGAAGATTATGCCGCGTGTAATGCAAGCACGAGAAGGGTTACCTTCATGCACGCATTGAGGGATCGGTGACCCCGACGACTGCTCTCTATCCAAGTGCAATGTGTGAGGCAATCGTTGGAGCCTGGTATCCAAATGGCACGTTCAAGAAGGTCGCAAGTGCTATGCCGGTCGAGGTTGATCCGGTTGAGCAGCGATGGAAGAAGAAGCCTAATACCTTGTACGTCAGTCTTGACAGCGAAAATGCCAAGATTGCGACGCGGGCTACGTTGGGGAGTGCTGGCTTGGACACCTATGCCTCTGAGGGCGTGTGTATTCCCGCAGGGGGGTCAGGTTTGGTTAGCGCCGGGATCTTGATAGAGATGCCCGCGGCGGTATATGCTAGGATAGCTCCCAGATCAGGACTAGCCGTGAAGAACAGGATCGCTGTAGGCGGCGGAGTCATCGATCCCGACTACGACGGAGAAGTCAAGGTCATCCTCTTCAATCATGGAGAAGAGGACTTCATTGTGAGGCCTGGGGACCGCATCGCGCAGATTGTGCTGGAGCGTGTTGCTCATTGATGCGTCAATCGTTCCCAGGAAGACCAGACGGGGAACCGATAGGGGATCCGCTGGCTTCGGAAGCACAGGTGTAGCTGCTGCCGCTCCTACAATAGGATCTGATGGAAGGACCTTTGAGTTTTCTATGCCCAGGGAGGAGATATCACTCTCGCATCGACCAAAGAGCTCGGGTGCCTTCCCTCCCTTGTACGCTTGTGTTGCTAGGCCAGTCAACAAGAAGGAACAAGCTGGAAATGCCAAAGCTAAAGCCGGAAAGAGTCGGACAAGTTGACATCGCAGGGTTGCTGGGACTTGTCGACTGTCCAAGAATGGCGTGATGTTGCGGCTAGGGCACGAAAGGAAGAGGAGAAGATCCATGTCGGTAGGATTTTCGACATCTGCGTTGAGAAGAATCATGAGCTTCCAGAAGACGATCCGAATCGCAAATAGGCGGCCATGTCGAAGTCCCTGCGCACGTCGCAGCTGGGGTCGTAGGCCTTGCGCTGCTCCTCGTCAACCTCCAGCAGGACGTAGCCCCACGGAGCCGGCAAGGCAAAGTCCGCGAAGCCTGCGCCGTCTCCGACTCCAACCCAAAGGCGCGGAAGGGCAGGTAGTGTTGGTACTCAAAGGTGATTTGCGCGTCGCGGAGTGATTGGTGCACCTCAAGCTCCTTACTCTTGGTCACTGCGCGGGAAAGATGGGTGATGCTCACGGGTTACTTCCCGGAAATCTTCTGGAAGTGAGTGACGGGGAGTCGGCATACACTCAGGCCCGCCCAAAGGGAAAGAAGACTTGGGTGAGGATTCCTCGTGACCAGTGGCCTCCTGGGTGGTTCGACAGTGACAGTAGCGGGAATCCCAGGTATAAGGACCCAGTCGTTGTCCTTGTGCTCGCACTGCACGGACATCCCGACGCTGGAACCTTTTGGGAGCAGCACTGCGAGGCTATGCTGAAGAAGGTCGGTTACGTCAAAGTGAAGGATTGGGCCAGCGTGTTCAGGCACGAAGAGCTTGACCTCTTCCTTGTTGTGTGTGTGGATGACTTCAAGATGAGTGGGCCGGCAAAGAATATCGCAACTGGATGGGCGCTGATCTCGAAGGTCATCAAAATGGAGGAACCGAGGCAGCTCAAGAGATATCTTGGATGCGAGCACGAATTCACACAGCAGCTGGTTAAGGGTCATTTTGATCCGAGGCTGGCTTGGACAGTGGGCAATCCTCCTGATAAGGAGCAGCCCGACTTGAGATTCGGTCCAGAGGGTTTACTCTCAAAGGACATTCCCAAGCCGGAAACCACAATAAGGTTCATCAAGTACAGCGAAGTAGCTTCATGCAGGCGTGTGTCGATAGACACATCGAACTGTGTCAGGGAAAGTACCCGAAGAAGCTGCAAAAGGTTGAGACACCGTTCCTGGACGAGAGCAAGCAGGAGTTTGACGAGAATCCCGTCAATCCCGAGTTTGACAAGCTCTTCAACCAGGCGATGGATGTGGAGACGGTTCTCTACGGAGCTAGGATGGGCAGGTACGACCTCATTCGTCCCGTGCAGGCGTTAGCCAGCCGGGTCACGAAGTGGAATCATCTGTGTGACCGCAAGCTCCACAGGCTAATTTCATATGTGAACCCTACGCTTGACCTTCATTTGTACGGTTGGGTGGGCGATAGCCCAGAGTTCATTGAGTTAGCTTACTGTGATGCGGATCTGGCTGGGGATCGTACCGATTCCAAAAGCACATCGGGGGTGCTCATTTGCCTTGTGGGTCCTAGGACCTACATGCCCATCACTGGAGTAAGTAAGAAGCAGACTTTTGTTTCGAAGTCAACTCCTGAAGCGGAGATCGTTGCCCTTGACCATGGAGTGTCTAAGGAGGGAATGGCGTTAGCCACCCTCTGGCAGCACGCCATTGGGCAAGGAAAAGAGACCCAGCCGTTCATTATCAACGTGCTGGAGGATAACGAATCGGCGTGCCGAATCGTTATAACTGGGAATAATCCCAACATGCGCTATATGTCAAGGACACAGCGCATTGACATCTCTTGGCTCATCGAACGTTTCAATGACGGTATTTTTCGATTCGTTGCATGCCCGTCTCACTATCAAGGTGCAGACATTTTTACCAAGGCCTGCATCGACAAGGTCGTATGGAGCAGAAATCTGCATACCCTTGGTATGTTCCTGCCGGGATACCTGCAGGAATATTTGGCCCAACCCACCCAACCCTGTCTTAAGACCCCTGCCGCTCCTGGGCTGCCCCCGCTTAGGGGGGTACGCATGGAATCAGGTGCAAAATCCGGTTTCAATCGGCTCATGGAGAGGTTACTCTCCGAGTACGAGGGAACCGTGATCGACGAGGAAAAAGGAGGGAAAAGATGTGAGAAAACCATTGTCGCAGATCAGGCGTTAGCCAATATTTTCGCGTGTAGTGAGTTTTGCAGGGTTGTTACTCTCCAAGTTGCTCCTGGATACAGACCACATTGTTCGCACTGGTAGGATTGAAGGCGATAGCCTTTGCTACGTTGTGCTTGCACTTAATGATCTTGCACCCGACAGGGTTGATTCCAGGACTGGGAAGTGGGGACAGACCAGAAAGCTTAGGGAAAGGACCGAGAGTGCCGTTAGGCAAAGGTTCAACATTGC